GCTCTTCAATCTGTCATTACCTTAATCTTTTACATACCTACCTGTATACTTACCTTTACACTCACCTGTCACTACAATCCACATCCCACTGCATTCCATTTTATGTTACTTACCTTCCACAACCTACATACTTACCTCTCTCAAATTGTTAATGATTTTATAATGTAACGTCATGTTTCAAATACTTACCTATGTTCCCACCCCATCACCTACCTGTTACCTACCACACTTACCTTCTCCCACTCCTTCTCCACTGTATGAATGAGAAACGAATGAATGATTGTATGTGGCTGGCGGCCGTGTCCGTGGTGTTGGGAGTGCCTAAGATGTGTACCAGCCGTTTCACTGGTGCACACCGAAGGCTGATGTGTGGCAACACTGCCGAGACACTACGGGCACGGTGTCGTCTGGAAGTACCCCCTTCGGGCCCTGGCCAGGGAGTGAACACCGAACTGGGGTGTCGGAGCCCCAGTCGCCCCGAACGAGCTCTCTATCGTCAAAACTGGATAGAGTGAAGAGTCAGTGCAGAATCAGTGGAGTTCCACTGAATGGTAGAGGTTACTCCCATGGGTGCACCCTTCTGCACGCTGCCCGTTCCCTTGTTCATAGGCGGTACCTATAAAACAAAGAATGTCTCAAAACAAGAAACAAACTAGAAACAGCTTAAGATCTACGCTAAACAAAAATCTAAATAGAACCTTAGATAATCCAAGTTTATCTCCCTTTATTACTAAAACTCCAAGTGATAGTACGGTAGTAGACGCAGATATTATTATAGACGACGTCCCTCACGCTACCCGTACACCTATGAGCAAAAATGATATTAGTCTACCTGATGACCAACACGGTTACAACGTATCTCATACTCCCTCTCACTCTCTTAAACGCACACCTCCTACGGCTCAGCAGGACATCCCCAACCCAAATCCTCTTCCTCAAACTCCTCCCCAATACCCTGCTACTCTAGAATATTTAAAACGTAAACGCCAATCCAACAAAGACAACAAAGACAATTCCATAGTAATGAATACATCTAATACCTCAAATGATAGTAAGAGAGGAAAAAGAAAAGCGCATAAAAGATCCAACGATGAATCGGATAGCTCCACTGATTTCTCTCAAAATGACGAGGACTACAACCCAGGATCTGATCTAAACGATGGAAAATCACTTTCAAAAATTATAATGTCTTTGGTGGAGTATGCAAACGAAATCAATTACGTTAGACGTAACTCTACAAACCTGAATGGGGTCTTCAATAGTAGACTCAAAACAGTGGAGAATGCTCTGCTGACCACATCACACGAGCTGGAACCCATATTCGCAGAACCTGAAAACAATAAGAAACTAATCGAAGAAAACCTAAACCTAATTAAAATCAATAGAAAACTTACAGAAAAAGTTAAACAACTCGAAACGCGCATAGAAAAACTCGAATCTACACCAAATAACCTACCTGTAACATCACTTGAACAAAATAAGAATCCCCTTTCATCCTCCAATAAGCTATTCCTAGAATCTCTTCTGCAGTCAATTAATGAGAATATTGACAGCAAGATAAAGGACCTCAAAACAGAAATATTTGCACACGTTAACAATAATACTACAAACCCAATTCCATCGCTGGCAAACCATCAAAATACTATAACACCTATAAGCTCCTCTGATGTGAGTCTACCATCGAACTCACACTCACCGAATCCTAACACACAACTAAGAGCTCCAGAGATGTGGGCCAAGGTTGTTGGAAAAAAATCAAAAAAGAAAACTATAGTCACTAGTAACGACTCACATACTTACCTCCATAATGCCAACACTCCTACCCTGCCTGCTGGCCCAAGCACTACCACCATAACACAGAATACAAAGCCCAGTGTACCTATAAGAAAACCTAAAAATGTAGAAGTCTTATATATTACAGAAAGTAGAAACAGTAATACAAAAATAAACCAGGTATTATCAAAAGCCAAAGAAAACATAAACCTGCAGGAACTAGGTATTAAAACAATAAACCCTCGCGAATCCTTAAATGGAGGACTCATCCTTGAGTTTCCAAAATCCAAGGAAGGTGAAGTTGCACCAATTCTAATGGAGAGGATCAAATCACTATTTCCACCGGATGATATTGTAGTATCTTGTCCAAAAAAATACAAGGAGGTATTGATCACCAGAGTCGACATATCTGCTACGCATGAAGAAATTACAAAGGCTCTCCAAACTGCATGTGGCTCTAACAAACACTTCATTCTAGGCCCTGTTCGTCCAAACCTGAGAGGCTCGGCGACAGTGTGGTGTAAGTGTGAAGAATCTGAAGCATATAAATTATTATCCATTAAAACACTGGCGATTGGATGGTCCCAAGCTTACTTCCAACCTCTAGAAAATAGACCAGTCCAGTGCTTTAAATGCTGGTCCTACGGTCATGTTCGCAACTCCTGCACTTCAAAAATCAATAGAGACGGTTGGTGCTACAAATGTGGTGGTGAAGGGCACCCATCCAACATCTGTGTTAATAATAATCCCATATGCAAACTCTGTCAAGAGAATAACTTCAACTACAAGCATAAAATGGGTACAAACACATGCAGGACATTTATTAACTACAAGAATGATAAACTAGAACGTAACTCTTCTTTACTACCCCAAAGTAATCCAGCAGTCAATGAAACTACAGACATCAGAATGGAGGTAACTGAAAAGAAAAAATCTTAAATTACAACATGGCACAATCCTTCCAAAACCAAAATATGCACAGATCCAGGTATAATGATGTAAGCTGTCCACTCCTAATCCTGCAAGCTAATATCAATCATGCTGTTGCTGCTCAATCCCTACTGGAGAGTTACATTGTTAGTAATAATATTAGTATTGCTCTTGTATCGGAACCACACAACCCCTGTAAAAGTGGATGGTTTGGATACCGTGAAAATAAGGCTGCAATAGTTGTAAACAACTCATCATTCACAAATCCAAGCATCTTATACGAACGTGACAACTATGTTGCGGGG